AAAACGTCTTACACCCCCTCATACTAACCCAGGAACTATATACCGGTAGATGGTGTGTTGCAGTTCCTTGATACCAGACTCACCTTTTCTGAACATGTGTGTTGGATGTACCACTCTAGAGCCGAAAAAGCCCCGGTTGCCGTACAATTCAGCTCATTGGAAATCGGTAAAAAAGAGTATGGCCAATATCTGCGTATTGAACGCTCTCAAAAAATCATGCCACCATGTGATGTCAGAAGGCCTGTGCACGCAGTATAGGCGGTTGTTGGCAGCTGGCTTCCTGAAGAATGTAGTGGTGTCAGTTGTAGACATCGTATTAAAAAGATTGCGTAGTGAAGATTGCTCTCACTCAACGGTTCTCAGATATAAACAAAAGGTCGCGGGGATACCGTACATTCAGAAAACGACGCATGGCCTAAAAAAGGTGGCCAATAGATCGAACGTAAAGGTAGTGTTTTTCGCAACAAACAAACTTAGTAGGTTATGTAGGATGACAGATCCTTTTCGTAAGGCTCCTGGCTGTGCGGTGAAACACAGGAATCCCTTTGTTGAATGTGTGGAGGAAGTAGTGTATCAGATCCCCTTATCATGCGGAAACAAGTATATAGGTCAGACCGGTAGGTGTGTTAATGATAGGCTAAGGGAACACAAACTTAGAATAGGAAATTATCGGGACGGTCATCTGTCTGATCATTGTCAAAGCTGAAAGTGTGTGCCGTTGTTTTCCGAGATCAAGATTCAGGCGAGCACAAGGAAAAATCCGTGAGGGAGGGAGATAGTCGAGGCAGATGGATTAAGAAGGGTGGGGCAGCATGTGTCAGCGTGGCCCCAATTGATCTACTTGACAATTCCTCGTTCCTCAATGACGTGGCCTGGCATTGGGTTGGCTAGTGATGGGACGATATCAGAGACTCGGATGGTTTATAAGGGACGCGTCATGTAATAAAATCAGTTGTTAGTAGCGCACTGTGGTGTCTGATTCTCGTCTTTTTGTCCTTATTTTTGAGCGCTAAAATATATTCCAAGCTCCAAAACCAACTAGCCCAACAATGTATTCTACATCATGCAGACACCTCCAAAACAATGACAACAAGAGCCACTTACCCTGCCCTAACGAATCGCGGCATTAACTCGTAGGCCCTAAGTGAATATCAGCACAGCTTGCCATAAGAATCGAGCCCATTTCATTCCCATGCCCTTCCGGGATCGCGGGAGTGCGGAATGATTCCGGAATCATTTCACTTCCGGAGTGGCAGCTCCGCAACCTTGGTACCGACAATATACGTTTAGGTAGATTAAGGCAAAGAGGTACCTACTCCACCTCCAACTGTCTCGTCCAACTTCTCAAATAGTTTTCTAAGCTATCCTGTCTTGGAGGTTGATAAGCACTGGGTCCGCTCAGTCATTCATTCATACGCTTGTCGTAAAAAAAATTCATTTGTTTAAGTTTCGCAACGTTCACGAGGTACGATAGAGTCCCTGAAACGAGTAGAGGTCACATTTCGTGTAGTCTCTACTCGTTTCACATATTAAATTTCTGCCAGGGTGTACAATAAACGTTCCGGAGGGAAACAAATATCGCTGGCAATTTTCCGCCACGGTGGTGGTAACTATAGGTATCATTTTTGGAATTAATATAATCGTGTGAGCCTGCGAAGACTGAAATTCACTTGTCTAGGATACATGGCTGAGTGCAAGTACCACATTCACAACTAAGTTGTACTGTTCAAGTGCATGCTCGGGCAGCTGATGTAATAACATACGGCCTGTGATAACGTACCCTTCACGCTAAACACTTTTACTCCCGATGAATATCTTATGGAAAGGAAAGTAAATCATAAGTAAGTATTTCTAGCTCACGTGACAGACAGAGTATGCACTCTAAGAAATCTGGAGCGTCAGGAGCGTGCGGTTGCCTTATCGCTACTGCGTGATGCACGACCTAATTGTGCGGTGTAACCAGTGTAACGTAAAATTTATTCTTTGTGATAGCCGCAAAACGTTGTACGTAAAGTATATCCTAATGGCAGTGGCAATTCTAAGTGTTCGTCGGTTTGAATAGTTCTGGAATCATTAATTCTTGGCTCTCGCACTCCCAGAATTCCAACCCGAGTGACTAAAAGAGTGGCCGTCAATAAGGAAAGAAGATGTCGTATAAGAACATTACTTTCGATCAAGAATTTATAAATTCTTAGAAACCAAGAGCTTTCAGCTTTTCTCCTTTTCTTTCTTTCTTTTTTTCTTGCGACAAAAAAAAATGGAGAAGCAAGACGTGTTTGACTTTTACGCGCGGTGACTCCGACGAGAAGCACAATGCCGTCATAGTCAACGAACCTAACAATTGTTTGCGCAAATCACTGAAAGGGCTTGCGGTTCTACACGAGTTAAAGGTGGTACGAAATGTGCGCAATGCCTAACTCTGACATCCACGGGCAGCTCGACAAAAGCTGCTCATGCAGCTAATGCCCGCTCAGATGGGCTCCGGCTTAAGCATCTTGGCTATGCGGAGCGAAAGTTCGTCTGCTCCTTTTGCAGGGGTTGTGGTGACGTCAGAACGCCGAGCTCTGATTGGCTCTGGTTGGGGTAAACCTCAAAGCAAGCTGCCTTGAGGTCTAGTGCGGTAGAAGCTAGTTCGAACTGTCATATTAGTCTCATTATCATAGCTGATCTTGACTCACTGAGCTTCATATACAGGGTGTTTTTTTTGTTTTTCTCGAATAGATATTTATCTAAAGAAAAGCTTTAAAAGCTACACAAATCCGGCCCATGCAAGCGAGTTATACGGCCAGGGGGACATTATGATCGAGTGAGAATGCAGAATGCGATGAACGCAATCAATATTAAATGCCAGTTTTTTTGTTGTTTTTTTTATCACGAAGTTTTAGTTATTTGTTGTCGAATTTTGTTCTGGAATTCTGTCGCTACCGAAACCAAACGCGCGATGCCCGTCGAAACAACAACACTCCTTTGACGCCGGATGGTCACGTGTTAATAACGAAATTTGCGTCGGTGTTTTGCGTCACAGCGCGCAAGAGCTGAATACGGTCGGTGCTCCAAGGCTGGCGAATATAAGCGATAAGCCACCTTATCCGCCGCGACAAGTTTCGTTGCTTTGCTGCGCGATATCACTGAGAAACGTGTTAATCATGAGGGCCAGTCAAGTTAAAAAAAAAAATAGAACTGAACCTAAATTACTTAACAAAAAGTGAATGCTTCGACGCGTTGTGACGGAAAAGTGAGGCAAAGTTTGTAATAAACACGTGACCCGCTGACGTCAAACTAGGGTTTTCCTTCCGGCGGGCATCGCGCGTTTCGTTTCGGTATCGAGAGATTTCCAGAACAAAATTTGACAATTACTTATTCGAACTAAATGCTATATCCAGGATTTTTAAAAACTGGACTTACCTCCAACATTAATTGCCCCGTTTCTTCGTTATAAACATATGCCCTGAAACATATAATTAAAAACGTAACTAGGAAACTTTCGTTAATTAGTCATCTATTAGTTGCATTATCTCTTGAACATAATGTCCGCCTGACCGTAGAACTCACTTGCGCATACTGCATTTGTGTAACTTTCTCGGATTTTGTAATGTATCCCGGGCGAAGCTCAAGCCACGACACCGAGGAGCGTCCAGATGTGCTTTTAATGGCGCCTGGAATTGCAATGCCCGAGCACCCGTCCCGTGCCCCAGGTCCGTGCTCTTGAAAAGCGCGGGATAAGCGCGTGTGCCCGGTGACGCCATCTCTTGGCCACCAGCGGATACATGACACTTCCCCCTCACTTGGCTGAGAACCCGAACCTTTCTGGCGGCCGTCGCACGCGAGTGCTGGTGCGTATGATCGGCTGGGTGGAACATGAAGGTCCTGTAGGTTGTGTAGGAGCAGTAGCCGGCCCTTGAGGGGTGATTGACACCTCGCAAGGCTCCATGGCCAAGTCCCACACAGGTGAAGGTGTAGTAGTCGTTCTGCGCGGTGGCGTGGAACTTCTAGGTCGTATATGTTCCATATGTCGCCGTGTCTGTCCCTGATCGGTGTCGATCATCCACGACCGAGGGCCCAGGCGTCTAGTGATGGTACCCGCCATCCATGTGCGTCCACTTGGAAACTTGCGAATCCACACTGCTTGTCCCACCAAAAATGCTTCCGGGACTGTCGAACTCGTGGGTTCATAGTTGGGTCCGTGGAGGAGTCTCTCGAGCGGAGACGGCAACTCTCGGCCAAGCAGCATCCACGCGGGAGTTTTTCCCGTCGCTGTGTGTACGGTAGTGTGTTGCTTCTATAAAAAGCGTGCCAACGTACAGTCCAACGTGTCCTTTCCGCCCTTCGCCAACGCCTTCTTTAACTGCTGGACCATTCGTTCAGCTTGGCCGTTAGTTGCAGGGTGATAAGGGGCACTGGTGACCGCTGCGATGCCGTTGGAGGAGTAAAAGCTCTTAATTTCTTCCGATACAAAGGCGGTCCCGTTGTCGGACATTACTTTCCGTGGTATGCCAAAGGTTGCAAACACGCTGCGCAGTTCTGAAATAACCGTAGACGACGCCATATTCCGAACTGCGCGAACTTCTAGCCCTTTGGAATACGCGGCAACAATTATAAGGTAGACCTGCCCCTCGATCGGCCCGGCAAAATCTAGATGGATGGTGTCCCATGGTGCCGTAGGTATTTCCCAGGTTAGGTTTTCGGCCTTTGGTACTGCTCTCTGGTTCAATTGGCACGTGTCACATTGAGCTACACAGAGTTCAATCACTTTGTCGATCCCGGGCCACCACAAGTAGCTCCGAGCGTATGCTTTCATGACAACGATGCCCCGGTGCCCCGCATGTAGAAGTGCTATGGCCTCGGATCTCATTGACGCGGGAATTACCACGCGCGATCTCCAGATGAGACAACCACGGTGAATTGACAATTCTGCTGCCTTGAGCTTGTATGCGACGAAGCGATCACCGTCTAGCTTTCTCACTTCGCCATGTTTGACCGCTTGGAACACCTTAGCAAGTATGGAATCCTTTGCTGTGTTGTCCGCCAGTTCTGTTGCAGTCATGGGAGGTTTTGTGAGCGCTTCCAACATCAAGACATCGCCTGGAGGATGTTGCTCGTCGTCAGTTTCCGGCAATGGCAGTCTGCTTAAAGGGATACTGAACCGAAATTTCGAGCTCACTAAACAAGGCTGGGCGGATAGGCGGGAAGCTGCAAAACCAAAAAAATATCACTCATACGGCGATACATCTAACGGATCGCCGTATTTTTCGGAAAAAATGTGCGCGATTGAACCCGGACGACGAGGCCGACGAGCCAAGGCACGTCACGATTCCCATTCTCTCTCCTCCTCGCTACGTCCCGTCAAGCTGGTGAACCGAAGCGAGGAGGAGAGAAGCGAGGCCGCTTCTCCTCATTCTCAAATTCTCCCGGAGGACAGTTACGTCAAAGAACTCGCTTGATCGCGCCCTTCTTTTCCAAAAGTACGGCCATCCGTTTGAGATATCGATGTACGAGTGATGTTTTGGGGTTCGTAGCGTCACGTTCAACACTTCTGCAGCCTTACTTTGCGAAATCCAGATTTCGGTTCAGTATCCCTTTAAGGCATCGGCGTTTTGATTCTGTTCTCCTGCCCTGTAGATCATATTATAATCGTAAGCTGTCAACTTAACACACCAGCGTGTCATCCGTGGCGAAAGCACAGTTGGTACTGGAGATTTTTGGCCCATGACCCCCACCAGCGGCTGATGGTCTGTTGTAATCGTCACGTGACGTCCCGTGACGTAGCGATGAAAACGGTCCATGGCGAAAACAATTGCCAGCCCCTCACGATCCAACTGTGAGTAATTCTTTTCGGCTTTGCCGAGCGTTCTCGAGGTGAAAACGATTGGAGCTTCGTTGCCATCGTCATCGAGCTGAGCTAATACCGCTCCCACACCATAGGGTGATGCGTCACATGACACAATCAGGCTTTTGTTCTCGTCGTAATGCGCGAGAACAGTTCGCTATGCGATGGCATGCTTTAACTGTCGAAAAGCTTGCCGATGCTTTTCTTGCCATGTCCAAGAGACATCCTTCTCCAGCAGTGCATAGAGGTCCTTTGCAATTGTTGCCCGGTTTGCCAAAAACCGGTTCATAAAAGGCTAAAAGTCCCAGAAACGATTGTAGCGTTGTTCTGCATGTTGGCTCGGGCATTTTCTTGATGGCTTTCAGTTTTTCATCTGTCGAGTGTATTCCAGCAGCATCAATGGTGTGGCCGAGGTATTCTACTCGTTCAACTGCAAAACGACACTTACATCTCTTGAGTCGAAGTCCTGCCTGAGCGAGTCGCGTCAGTACTGTGTCCAGTCGAGTCAGGTGTTCGGCTGCGGTCGCACCGCTGATGATCAAGTCATCTAGGTATACCCCGATCCCCGGAATTCCAGCAAGTACTGTTTCCATGAATCGCTGGAAAATCGCTGGTGCCGCGGCGATCCCAAACGGCATCCTCTTGACTCTGAATAGGCCTTTTATAGTGTTAATGGTTAACAGATCAGCTGTATCTCTTGTCAACCGTAGCTGCTGATACGCTTGCGTGAGGTCTAGAGTAGAAAATACCAATCCTCCTTGCAAATTGGTTAGGATTTCTGGAATTGTTGGCATAGGATACACGGTTGTTTTCGCCTCCTTGTTTACTGTACTTCGATAGTCACCGCATAGTCGAATGGTCCCGTCTTTCTTCCGGACCACCACCACAGGTGTAGCCCACTCGGAATGCTGTGTTGGTTCTAAAATACCTTGGCTCTCGAGACTTTCCAACTCGGCCTCTACCGCCGGACGTAGTGCAAACGGCACGGGTCGTGATTTGAGGAAATGAGGAGTAGCGCCCTCTTTTAGTTCCAGGTTTACTGGTGGACCACTATGCCCCCTGATGTTGGCGTCAAAAACATCCTCAAGAGCCTTCAAAATATTCGCAACGCTGTCCTTTGTTCCTAGATGGTGAATTCCACTGACCCGAATCTTGAGGTCTTGAAACCAGTTCCTTCCCAGAAGACTGCAGCCTGTTCCGCGGGTGACGTCCAATGGCAAGATGTAGTCTTTAGATTTATGTCTGACATGCACGTTCGCCGTTCCAAGGACTTGTAAACCCTCGCCTGACCAAGTATGAAGGGTCAGCCCGTCCTGGTTCAATGTTGGAGGGTTCTTGGGCCACAACCGACGATACGTGGCTTCGCTAATGATTAAGCAAGCAGCTCCCGAGTCGACCTCCAATTCCAGCTCGCGGTTGTTGATCTTCAGGGTGAGCATGAACTTTGGCAGCGTGCTGGATGCTCGTACTGCATTCAGGTCGTGCAGGTTCCATGACGTGTCCGAAAGATCATCATCAGATTGCAGAGTTTCCTCGTGTTGTTCCACGTGGTGTGTCGTCTGCGATTGGTGATGCACCCTTGACTTCTTGAAACAAGCCTTTTCGACATGCCCCTTCTTGTGGCAGAAGTTACATCGTGCATTTCGGGACTGGCACGAGAAGGCCGAATGCTGTTCTAGGCATCGGTAACATGTCAGTGGTTCTGACTGTCTTTTCTCCTTCTGTTCCAGGTGCGCAGGAGGTAATTGTGTTTTTTTAACTGCGTAAATTTCCGATTTTTGGGCTTTCATGTCCCTTTCATGTTGTGCCGCACCTTCTGTCCTCACAGCCATGTCGTATGCTCTTTTAAACGTTAGGTTGGTTTCCGCAAAGAGACGTTGCTGTAGGTGCTCATCCATTATGCCACACACGAACCGATACCTGAGCATTACGTCCAGAGGCAGCATGGTAGGGTTGGGTACTGGTGGACTCACGGTGACCGCAGTTCCAGGGGCGTCCGCGCTGGCGGGGTGGGCGGTCGTTCCAGTAGCGGCCGAAGCAACGCCGATGGAGCTGAGCGATGGCGCAGCCGTCTGTGTCGCCAGTATCCCGAAATTGCAGTCAGCGGCTAACTTCTTTAGAGCTGCCGCGTAGGTTGCAATGGACTCCCCGGGCTGCTGGTCTCTCCGCTGGAACTTCGTTCTGCTGAAGAGCTCTGACGGCCGGGGGTCGAAGTGCTTCTGCAGCATCGCCATGAGTTCGTCGAAAGGGACGCTTCCTGGTGTCCTCGGTGCAACGAGTGCTCGCACTACTTCGTATGTCTGTGCTCCGCAAAGCGTAAGCAGTAGAGCCCTCTTCTTTGAAGGCTCAGCTATGTCGTTTGCCTCGCAGTAGAAGCCAAAACGATCGGCCCAGGATGTCCAAGCTGTCAGGTTGAATTCTTCCAGCTTGCCTTGGGTGGTCATTGTTCCCGCTGTAGTTCTTGTATGTTGACCGACTCGTCGCCAAAATGTAATGTATCCCGGGTGAAGCTCAAGCCACGACACCGAGGAGCGTCCAGATGTGCTTTTAATGGCGCCTGGAATTGCAATGCCCGAGCACCCGTCCCGTGCCCCAGGTCCGTGCTCTTGAAAAGCGCGGGATAAGCGCGTGTGCCCGGTGACGCCATCTCTTGGCCACAAGCGGATACATGACAGATTTAAAAAAAATTATCCGATAAAATAAAACACTGAATTTACTGACCCAGAGCCTCACAGTATTAAGAGAGTCATGAATAACCATGGCACTAGGTAAATAAATTTATTAAAAACTTTAATTTGAACTCGTCTATTTTGTTTCAGATGCTGTACAATGTTTTGAGGACTCCAAGTAAGTTTATTATATTGTTATCATATTGCTAAAAATAAAAACAACCTACATTATACAAGAAACTGCCATTTTTAGTTCGGCTCATACAATAAATGCATTAAACAATAAAAAAAGTTAAAAAAATACAAAACTCTAATGTAACTTACCTCATATGGCGATGTTGAACAAACTGTTGTGTCAATGTGAAACAATTGGCTTTGATGAAACATGAACAATTGTATTGACCAAACGGTTATACTCTTCTACTAGGCTCATCTTCAGCCAGCGATCTTCGGGTCTCCTATCAGTTTCGTGAATTGTTCCCTAGGGAGTTATAAAACTGATTTGTTTTATCACTTCCATCTGAAGTATTGTTGACGTTGTAGATCACGGAGTTAATGGTCGATGAGGTGCAGATCACCGAAATCTGTACCAGATATTAAGAAAAAGTACAACGTAGACTCTAACCAATTTCTTCAATGTGCCCGACGTTTCGAAGCCAGCTCGGCTCCTTGTTCACGGGTGACTGTATATGGGCCCAAGGGTAGCAACCTGTCGTCGTTTTCTTCTCTTCTCTCTTAGCTTTGTTTTCTTCTTCTGTTCCTGTGTGTGGCGCATTTTAGCCCGTGTATATAGCTGCTTGGAAGCGTTCCGGTGGATCGGTTCAGGTTGTTACTTGTATTTTGTATGTGCCAAGATTCTATTAAGAGCCGCTTTCTCCAGTTTCTTTCTGTGTCGAGGATGGAGCTGCTGTCAAAGCCAATGGCGTGGCCGGTCTTCTGAGCATGTTCCGCCAGCGCGCTGCCTTGGATGTCATTCTTCTTAACATCATACTTATGTCTACGCAGACGTTCGGGAAAGTTCTTCGTTTCCCCCACATAAGAGGCGTCGCATTCGGCACAAGGAATTTGGTAAATCAGGCCTTGAGCTTTTTCTTTTGGTGGACGATCCTTTGGAAGAGGAAGAAAATGGCCCAGAGTTGAGACAGGTTTATGCGTAACTGCAATGCCGTACGGTCTCAAAACGCGGGCAAGGACCTCGCTCGTGCCATGGAGGTACGGGACACACATGCGGCTGGAGGTGTTTTTGTTCTTGGATGTAGGAGGGTGACGAAGTTGTTTGTATATTTTGTTGACAAATCTCGTAGGGTAGTTGTTTTTCCGAAGGTCTCGCTTTATAATATCGACTTCCATCTTAAGTGACTTCTTCGTTGAGCAGACCGTGAGGGCGCGTCGAAAGAGCGTCGACACTACAGAGGATTTGTGAGCCGTAGGGTGGTCTGACGAGAAGTTTAGGTAGCGACCGGTGTGCGTTGCTTTCCTGTATACTTGGAAGGATAAATGGTTCCCTGTTTTTTCCACTGCCACATCCAGAAATGGAAGGCACCCGTTAGACTCTTGTTCAACCGTGAATCGAATGTCTGGATGGATGGAATTGAGATGTTTGTGAAAGCGATCGACTTCGCTGGACTTGGCAACACAGAAGCAATCATCCACGTAACGTAGAAACAGAGTCGGTGTGGGAGAAAATGTGCTTAAGGCTTTTTGCTCGATGGCTTCCATTGTGAGGTTGGCGACAGTGACGGACACCGCGGCACCCATGGCTGTGCCACTGCTTTGCTTGTAGTAGCGACCAGCGAAAGAAAAGTAGGTATTTGTCAGGCACAGCTCTAGTAGCCGACATATCTCATTCACCGAGAGGTGTGTTCTTTCAGGTAGAGTCGTGTCGGCCTTGAGTGCCGTTCTGACAACAGACACCGCGAGTCGAATGCGCCACACACAGGAACAGAAGAAGAAAACAAAGCTAAGAGAGAAGAGAAGAAAACGACGACAGGTTGCTACCCTTGGGCCCATATACAGTCACCCGTGAACAAGGAGCCGAGCTGGCTTCGAAACGTCGGGCACATTGAAGAAATTGGTTAGAGTCTACGTTGTACTTTTTCTTATTACTTACCTAACCAGGCGGAGTTCCGCCGAAATGTTTACATTTAATGTACCAGATATTGGAATGTGTACAGTAATGACGAGCTAGTTCACGAAAAGAGACAACAGAAAATATTTTCCTGTGTCTAGATCTGGCAAATACAGTCAGATATAGGTAATTAAAGTGCGTTGCTTTGAGGTACAAATAAAAACGATAATGATATATTTTTTATACAATAAACGGCAATAAATGTCAAAAATCATATGAGGCTAATACCTAGATGTAGCCATAATAAAATTCTTAAAGTGGATTGCACATGGTGTGAATGTCTTTTCTAATGCACACATAACTTCATGACCACTAAGGCGAAAATTGGCACTGCCTCTTCCGACTATAAAGCCTTGTGTGCAAATGAATCTAAACAATTGTATTACAAGCACCTACACGGCGGTCATCGAGTATGCCTACGTCCCTTATGCATATAAGAATACTAATTAGAGTCTTATGTGCCCAAAGATATTCAGCGTAAAATGCCAGCCCCACATTTTTTATCCTGAGTACTAGAAATGTTTTAAGAATTATTTTTTTCCCAGAACTATAATAAAATGTAATTGCTCACCGCGCGAAAAAGGTTAATAAGCACAAACATTACGCATTAATAATTTTACAAAGTAAGGTTACACTGGATACAATAAAAGCAAGATTGTCTTGTTCTCGTTTTTTTATTTATTTATTCTATTCTATAACTTTTGGCGGGTTCTCAACAGGCTCTGCAGCAGTGTTGTAAGCGTCACCGAAAAAAGTAACGAAATACGTCACTCGTTACTTGCAAAATAAAGTAACGCGTTACCGACCTGCGTTACCTCAAAAGAAAAACAAAACGCGTTACGGTTACTGATTTAAAGTAACGCACGTTTGTTTTGCTTTACTTTTATTTATAAACTAACGGTAACAATAAGTTTTTCCGTGTGTGTGTGTGTGTTTTTTTTTTTTTTTTTGCGACACCGTTTTTTTTTTGTTTTTTTTTAACTGGGGCAAAGTCTTATTTGAAAGTGGGTGCTTTCTGCGTGAGAAAAATACATTCAAAACTTTGAGGGTACATGGTATGAGTGCAATAATTAATGACTTGACGTCTATACTTCGTTTCAACTTAAGTCCAGAGGTAGTCGACGCTATGAGATTATTAGACTAATCAAGCAGCTTAAAAAGCGGAACTTACTGAGCTTTTTTGTTTATGATTAGCTCAGCAATGATAAAATAAGTATAGAAAACACGCCGAACACGATGATTGTGTCCTTTTAACGCTGTCTGATTCGTAACATCAACTGGTAGTGTCGGCTGCGTCTGGACTTAAGATGAAACGAAGTATGGAAACAGAAAAAAAAAAGCTAAGTGTACTTTTTATGGTTTTGGAAAGAAGAAGTAACGATTAATGTAGCTGCATTACACGTTACTAGAAAGGAGCTAAGTAAATAGGTTACCCGTTTCTGTTCTGAAAAAAGTAACGAGTACGTTACTACGTTACTGAAAGTAGTAACGCGTTACCGGCAATGGCGTTACTTGGAACGCGTTACCGCCAACACTGCTTCGCAGTAATGTAGAATACATTAATAGATAACTAGCTCGGGTGGTCAAAATATTTTAACATGCACTGTTGACGTATGATTTGAAATACCTTAAAGCTGCATAGCATGTCCCGCCATCTTCAGCTCAAACCTTGCAAAGTTACGATCAAATGGTCACTCGTTTTCTGCTATTTGAACGGGGACGTAAGTTTCTAGCCATTTTAGGAGACACGCATACTAATTTATGTGTGAGTGGAAGAACATATTAAAGTGCAATCTGAACCAAGTATGCTTCGATTTTTTTCTGATAAATTTCAATTGTACTTTAAGTTGCGGTTATATTTGTTGTAATCACAAATTATTTATAAATGCGTACTTTAGTACTTTCTCGGGTAGGCAGAGAGTCAAAATAAGCCCTATTTGAATAGTAAAAATAATGAGGCAAATAGCTCACAATTTTTTTTTTTATTATTGTTTGGTGCATCTACTTAACCTCTATAAAAATATAAGAAGTTATGGGCTCGCTCATACCATCCGTAATCAATAAATCATAAATTCATTGTAAGTGAAAATAGGCGCAAATGAGTCCGAACGAGGATTTACATATGTGTAAACGAGTACAAAAAATGCGCAAAGACTCATATACCTTTAGGGCCGTAACATAAAGTATTGTCAAGAACGGCAATTGATGAGGCGACGAAACTGAAGTAAACTAAACGTTTAATGAGGCGAACTTGTGTCCAAAACAAAAGAAAGATAAGGAAGAGCTTCGCGGGCGTCGATGGCGGCGAAACAGCAGGATCGAACGCTGGGGCGAAACTGACTCCGCTCGCCATGCGGAGTCTCTTATGTACCCGCGTGGGTTTCTGGAACATCCGGCGTAGAACTTTCGGCGCGTAGAACATTCGGAACTTGATCAGACGACAATGTTCTCAAACATACGAGAACGCAACGTTGAAATCATAAATAAAAGAACATTCCGCTGACTGGAATCAAACCTAGATCCTCCGCGGGAGAGTTAAGCGCGGTAACCATTCGGCCACGCATGCGGTCGCTAGGTGACGCGCGTGGCAATATGTCTTGTTGTGCTTGTTTACGTCTCGCATGTTAGTTACCCTTACCTCTCCACCTATGAGTGTGTGTAATTTGTGGTTGTGCATGTAATTTCCCAATGCTCATATAATATACACGGTTCGGTCATGGGCTCGTGCGTGTTCATCTACTGTGAGAGTGTTTAAAAACGGGTGGCCTCCGCTACAGAATTATAACACCGACGGTATCGGCGTTTTGTGGCAATCCGAGCCTGCGTCTAACAGCGCACTTTCCCTGCCAAAAGCTAGTGCAAATTCACCACGCTGCTGGCTCCGATTAGTGCCTCTTAGATCTGTGACTAAAAAAGAAAAACGGCTGTTGCATGTGCCACCTAGGTGTTGCGCTGCATGGGTTTTAGACCCGTATGCATTCTCGACAATCCAGGAGTTGTCCATTCTATTAACTGGCGTATTAAGTTAATAATCATTTCTGTTCTATGCAATATATGCGTCTTTCTTTACAACGTGACGCGCAGCTTTGATTTCACGGCTTTGAATCTTTCGTTAGATCATCCTATCTTTATATTATGGCACTGAAAGATTCTTTGAATTATGTGAAGCTCATGCAGTAGTGCTTCCCTCAAGAGTGATTTTGCTGACCGCACAACAAGACGTGGCATACATTGAGAGCCCGGGATTCCCCGACGCGTTGTATCCGAAGGACACGCAACAACAGTTTGACGTCAAGGTAAGCATAATGAAATGGAAGCTTTCAGGCATTTGAAACCTTGAATATATTTTATTAGCTTTTTTAAGTTAGTTTATAACTCACCTTTTAAGGCTGATTAAACGTTACTAGAAACCTGCTCCGTCTTAATTCATTCCGCTATAAAATTTCTTTATGTCAAAACAAACTATATTATTTGCTTTTTATATAAGTGAATCCTTTTTGAAATATCAAGACCCCTTGGGAACAAAAAATGATGGTGGTGAGATGGTTGAGTTTAAGAGCATTGCATTACTTTAAAGTTAAAAGTGATTGTGTCTTGTGAAGCAGCACATTTTGGGGTGAACAATGTCATACCCCATCAATACTAAATGGGAGCTTTGTTCCTGTCCAGCATTGTCTAAACTCGCGTAAAAGTTTAGCATTTCCATTCGTAGCAGGAAGAATAGCTTGTGCAATCGTAACCGAAAAAGTTATCTCAGGTGGAGGTTTGGAACCTTGAGTGGCGCGATATACTTTTATGATAGATGCAAGCGAAGCTTTTTTCCTGACTTCGCCTCCCAAACGGAGATAAATAAACTTATGTATTGATAGATTGATTAATTGATAAATTAAAAAAAACTTTTTTCCACTTTTGATTTTTCTGCATTTTTTATCTATATAAATTTATACCTACCGTATCAAACAGAAGATTTCTTACAAACGGGGAAAACTAAGCTTTCAAGAAAGTTCGGTCAACGGACTGGCGCTTCATTTGATAAATAAGATCCAGAATACAAAAAGTAAATCTCACCACGATTGGCATCAATATCAAAACCAAGCTAGGACCTTAAACAGCTGTTTATTCATTAAAACCTCCAAGCTTTCTACAGGGTTACACCTTCCACAATGTAGCTCAAGAACCCACAGGAAATGTTTCTTGCATACTCCTGAACAAATTTTGTGTAACGCTTTCGTGAGGATGCATGACGCTAAGAAATTCACAAACGTTCCAACATCAGTTCCACCGCAACTCGGCAATCTTAGCTACATTGTTGAAGCTAAAGCATTAGCGGCACACAGTCTAATTATAAAAAAATAGAGGGGTGGATAAAGTGACAAAAGTTGATGATCCATCCAACATGCTTTTGTTGCATGATTATTCCGTTGCGCTTCCTACCGAAAGTATAATTGCTTTAGACGAAAAGGCATAATTTTTTTAAGGCATTACTTTATGTTGGAGGAATCGGCAACAACATTCGCAAAGAGAATGTTTGAAACAATATTTTATGAGGCCAAATCTTTTTAGTATTACTGTCGCCCGTGTTGTTCCCGATAATGAGAATCTCATCAACCGAGGGTTCCAGAGTCAGAAGTATTTCGACTAAATACCAGACATATACAATAAAATTCTTGATTTTTTTCATTTGTTTCCTGGGTAAATTCATTTATATTTTAAAATGGTCACAATTTTCAGGTTTATGTTATACTAAATTGGCCTTACTTCAGTGCTCAAAATCTGAAACATATGAATGCAAGTAACCGATTCTTATTCCACTGGTTGCAGGTTCACCTTGGGGACAGGCTGATGGAAGAGTCTGCACGGATCCAGGTTACCTTTGAGGTCTTTCTCATGGAGAAGAGTTACTTTTGCCACAAGGACGGATTTGACATTGTTGACAGAACGGGAGAAGTCAGAGCGTATGAAAAATATTTTTGTCGCAACTTAGTATTTATTTACACTCATTTTTGACCCGTATTGCTCTGATCAATGGCGACTAAATCAATAGCAACATTATATTTTTCGTGCAAGTCAATACACAAGCAGCAAGAAAATGATAAGACATAACACTCAAAATACATAACTATAATAGAGGGAACAATCGTGTTTATGCTATGCAACCATTACATATCTAAATTCGGCTTTCGTGTGCGAACCTATACCCTAACTCATGCTTACAAAAAGATCGGAGCGCCCCTGGCGGCACGCCAGCGGCGCCGCGCATGCGCGATGGGGTGTCGGCAAGATGCCCCGCATCCCGCATCGACAAACCATTGGAATCTAATGTTGTCGGCGCCGGTGTGTAAGTCCCCGTGCGGTTTTTCGCGTTTCAATTGTCGATTTTACGTCGTCATGGCGATGTCTTACTAGTTAAGTGGCGTGAGCGAAGTTAACAGGGCTCGTTACACCGAATAATTTCGTGTTAATAATGTAGTGTGCGGTGATTCATGCCGAGTGAATGCCGCAGAATGGACACTAAAGCCTGATTCACATGATGAGATTTTGCTCGCTATTTTCAGTCGCGACGTCGCTCGAGCTGCAAAAGCGTGGACGGGAGCTGCGATGCTCGACGTCAATACTGAAAATCGCAAGCAGAATCGGACCGAGTGAATCAAGCATAACAAGTCAGTGATGGCCAGTGGTAACAATGATAAACATCACCTTGTATCTAGTGTTTACACCGAGCTTACTTACCCCAAACAACCTTCAAATTTAAAAGTCTTTAGAGGCCTGCAGATGACAATTTGAACAATCAGACGGCCGTTTGAACGTGAAGACGCACTGAACGTTGTCGGGTGGTGGTCCGGACAACTCGATGATTTTCCCGCGATCATTTTGAAACAAAACAAATAAACCTGACAACTACAAGTATCCGCGAATTCAACCCAAAGCTCTTCCCGTACAAGCATTCGTGGTCTGGCGGTGTCCGGATTCCGTTTTCACGGCACCTATTTGCGTTCTCCGACGAACATAGCAGGCAGAAAACACATGAATACTGATCTTCCAACCTTTCCCGGCTTTTTCGCAGCAGCCCCAGTCGCGGCGTCTTCTCAAAAAGGCAGGTTTTGGTCATGCTTCTTCTAAAACTACACAGGAATCCCCGTCTCGCATGGCAACTTCCGCCCAAAGCCCCAGACCCAGACCGGAAGAGCGCCCGACGCGCCACCGCCGCGGCGTCTCGCAACAGAGTTGACTTGGTGAATACAACAGTTTGAGGAAGAGACTAGTTGTCATCGGTGATATGTAAGCGGAACGCTAATAATACAGGTTTCTTCTGGATATGGCTATTTTTATTTATCGCACAGGACTACATTGTAATTCATTTTAACGAGATACCTTCCAACTACTCCCTTAAAATGCTTCAAAGGCATTTCTCCCATATCGCTTCAACAACAAACATCTCGATAGTTGGAAGGAATTTCGAAGAGCAGTTTGTGATTAGACTAAACAAAATTTGCTTATTATAAGACATTTATTGTAATATTGCACTAAACAAAATTTGTTTCGTATTATACTATTTCCTCGGAGAAAGACGCATCAAAACTTGTACGCAATAAATCAAGACTTACTATTACTAATTGTGGAATATATTTTCAAAATATAGCCTGTTGACAATCACACCATTCTGTCACAAACTGAAGCTGATTTTGAAACCGTCCTGCGCATTTTTCATGTGCATACAAAGTGCACACAACGGTATCAAGACTTTTACCCACTACAAGAACTGGGATCATTCAGCCGTTCAAAAAAATTCATGACATAAAGACTTATCCCCTGAATCACTGTAAATATAATATATTTTTATTATTTATCATGTACATGGGATTTTCATGCGTAAAATGCGCCTCAAAAATTACAAGATAGACTTGCATTTGCACAAAATCATGCTTTATATATATATATATATATATATATATATATATATATATATATATATATATATATATGTGTGTGTGTGTATGTGTGTGTGTCTGTGTGTGTGTGTGGGATGCTAAAATTTGCAATGTATCAAACGTTTGGCAGGAATATACCCAGCGTTTGTGAAACTTGAAGAGCTCTTAGCAGTTCCTAATTGCTGATACATTAAGAATCTTCTTATTCAACGGACTAAAAATCAACTACTTTGATTAAGGTGTTCATTTACAATGTGTTTATCATACTTATGTTTTACGAGAACACACTGACTCAATATTAACTTTCGAAATGTCAGTTTCATGGTGATACATTAACATATTTGAATGTTCCTTTCTGCGAAGACTGCTGAAACTCAGTATGTCAATGGTGGTTTATAAGATGCCCCAAAGACATACCACTGCACTCGTGGAAGCGTTTCTAAGTACAGTGTATCTCTTGTAAACAAGAGTCGAGATCGTTCAAAACGTGTAATCTACTTTTGATTAGTTACGACTCATATAAAGACCTCTACGATACACCAGTCTTTTTCTTTTTGATATTTTTGTAATATTATGCTGTATTTCTCAATTGCATACGTTCAGACCCTTCAGTTCCTATTTGTTCACGCTGTAACTTTCTGAAAAGTTACCTTGTTCACTTGTTGTTTGTCAGTCCTGCCAGATCTTCCAATGAGGGATCGCACGAATTAATATAAATATTTAGTAAACATTAAATATATCATACAATTATCTATTGATACTTATATTATTAGCAAGTAAAGCAAGAAAGTGATTGCAGCATGCTCACGTTTTATTTCTGCTCATCCAAATATTATAGCTCTGGAAATTTACCCTGCTTGGAGGTCGGATGAGACCAGATTTTATGGATTTAGCACGTTTAATGAAGATCCTCATGTTAAACATCCGGATGTAACCAAATTAAACCTCTAGCTTTGTCGAAAGAATTCATTTTGAAGGCGCATTTTGCGCCAAAATCAATAACCAAATTGCAAAAAAACGAAGAATAACCTGTTATTTCTTTTTTTAAATTGAAATATCCGTCCTTTTATATTTCATTATAAGCGTAGGACCCCACCTACATTTGATCCCCTGCGCCTGCAGTACTGGTCCTTATACAGGTGTTTGCAGTGCTATGCCTCTCTATTGTTGCTTGTTCAAATAAAGCCGCCTACTCTGACATGTCAGCATGCATCCTTTTGAAAGTTGATTTAATCTAATGGCGTATCATTATATACACTTCCTTTCAGATACTGTGGTCCGCAGGGTGGCAGGAATTTCCTGATGCAAGACAGTCACATACGAATGCGCATGTTCACGGACGAAACCGTCGAAGACCGGGGATTTCGGATCAGAGTGAAGCTGTTCCAGTCTCCATGTGGCGGCATCTTCCAGAGGCAAGGGTCGGGCATCATTATGAGTCCCCATCACCCCTACGCCTACACCGCCGACAGCCTCTGCATATGGAGAATAGAGGTAACAACTAAAGACTATTTTATGAAGCTACATAATAGCCGCTGTCTTTGCTGGTTTCCAGGAGCCACATATTTTAGGGCAGCACCTGATTAGGTCAATCTAAATCAGAGTGCCCGCAATAGATGGTGTCTGTCAAGAACCATAGGAATCTTCACCACCTCTTTCAATAAAGACATCTTCAATTAATCTAAATCAATAATAATGATTAAATTCAGTCAGTAACGGAAGCATACTGTTCTTGTTATAATCGAAACTCTAATTGTGGATTGTCTCTTGACGAGCGCGGCCAATGAAGGGGACCGTCGGTGTTATGCAACATCTTAAGCGTCAGGACCCCTTCTGGCCCTAAAATATTATTAACTTTAAAAAAAAAAACGCTATTGCTCACGTTCACTATTGACAAGGTTTATCGAAGAATTTATCAGCAGCCAAAACGCCAGCAGTTGTAAGAGTGTATTAAACACCCCGGCCTACGATGTTAGCGTGCCCTCAAGGCGCGCCCTTATTTCTTTAGAAGGGAAACAATGGCAGCTGCCTTCTTTAGGGAGTAAGAAAGTTCCATCTCAAAATAACTATATTCGGAGCGTAAGTTAGTCTGCTTCTTGCACAGTGGCTGCGATAATGTCAAAACGCCGAGCTCTTACTGGCTGATTGAAAACGAAATAGTGGGCAGACCTCGAGGCCTCTAGCATTGAGGCCTACCCACTATCCTGCCAATCAAAGTCGATAAGAACTCGGCGTCGTTCTGACGTCAACGCAACTCCTGTGCAAGAAGATGAAGACTTGGCTCTCCGCATTAAAATATCAAAACACCTTGCCTGTAAGTTGCATGTTAAATTTATTTATTTATTTATGCATTTATTAAAAACATGCTTTTATTCAATGAGAACGTTCGCCTGCCTATGGCTCGCCTCAGGTAAAAGAAACTCGAGCAAGGATATTATTAAAAATTCGTTATTCGAAATTTCGGGCCACGAAGCCTTTTTAAAACGTACGAGGGGATCCAGGATTTGTTTCCTGTGCTGTGCGTGTCCCTTGGGGTGGGCCCAGTCCTCCACCTTTATCGATATCATTTCGCTCGATAGCGGATTCCACGCATCTTGTCTGAAGTCCACTACAGTCCCCTGCAGTCCTAGCGTATGTCCTAGACAATAATGCTCCTGTGGTGCATGTTCTGCACACAGGATTTATTACCCCCTTTTTGCAGCGAAGCTGTTAACGCTGGGATCTGGGAAAAATGCGTCTTCAAATGTCGACAGAAAACTTCCCTTTGGTCGTGGCGAGTATGAATAAATAAAAACGAAAAGAGGGGTCGAGTATGAATAAAAACAAAAAACAAAAAACCAGCGTGAGTCAGACTTCCTTGGCGTTACTAGACAGTGAAGTCCCTTATCATTTCTAGGCATCGTCCTCGAGGTCGTCCTAAAAGCCGCCCTTGAGGTCGTCCGAGATGTCGTCCCAGGCGTCGTCCTCTAGGCGTAGTCCTCTTGGTCGTCCTTGAGGGGATCCTAGACGTTGTCCTCGAGGTCACCCTAGAAGTCTTCCTCGAGGTCATCCTAGAAGTCGTCCTTGAGGTCGTCCTTGAGGTCGTCCTCTAGGCGTCGTCCTAGAAATCGCTCTTCAGATCGTCCTAGGCGTCGTCCTAGAAGTCGCCCTTGAGATCGTCCTAGACGTCGTCCTAGAAGTTGTCCTCGAGGTTATCCTAGAAGTTGTCCTAGACGTCGTCCTCGAGGCCGTCCTAGAAGTCGTCCTAGACGTCGTCCTAGCAGTTGGTAATTGGGGTTGGGTGGATATTCATACAGCGTGTAGTTAGTTGGTCAGCCATTTCAAAGTTGCGACGAGTCACTCGCTGTAGGTGAGCAATTCAGTCAGTGCAGTACAACCGCTAGCCTGGGGTCTTTAACGTGCATCACGCAGTAGTAGACAATTTTGGTATAGCGTTGCTGGATCTTACGTACGCAATACGCAATAGTATGGCGTACGCTAAAAACGACCCGCTCGGACCGATTTTAGTTGTGCGTTACGTTTTTGAGCGGACACCTCGCATGATCTTGGTTATATTTGCCAGAGCCGTAGAATGCCGCGTGCTTATAGCGCCACCATGCTGCTGAAAATAAATATTAAAAATGAAAACGTGTCCAATCACTTTATTTCAAGTTAAACCAAGCCGCAGCTGCCTTGTCCAGCGCGCTTTTCTGCGGGATACAGAGGCTACGAGTACGAGTGCGTAGCCAAATTCGATCACGGAGCCTCCGTCACTCGTCCCGTCAAAACGGCTCCTTTCATCAATGATATCACGGAATGAAATCCATGACCTACTGATGTCTAGTGCATAGCGAGAACTTCGGCGATTTCTTGAAGATTCGTTCGTCCGTCAGCGATGAACTGAGCGAATAGGCCTAGCGTTTAGCAGATCGCAGCGTTTACGCGCATTGCAAGCGGTGAACACTTTCCCTGTGCACTCCTTCAGCTGCAGTTCCTTTCTTTTCAACACTTCTCTCTCCCTCTCTCTCTTCAGCTGCACGCCGATCCGATTCGACCGCGGTGCGTCCCGGAAAGAATTGCCGCGCGGAACACCACGTTATTTCACCGTTCACGTAACACAGAACTTCGAGAACACCACGGCGCCTTTGCTGCGCCAGTCGAAGTAACCGCCATCTTGAAACTGGAGCTCTCGTTAGGCCCGAGATCTATCGAGAGCTTCCCGCCAAGCCCGCAACGCAACATCCCCAGCGTTGCGTGTGGTACGCAATACGTAGCCCTTCTATTGCGTTCTGCGCATGCGCACTCACGACCCGCAATTTCCTTGCGTACACAAAGCTATAGCGGACGGTCCACTAAAAAGTGATACACGACCGCACGCCGGTACGGTGCTCATCCAGGTCGAAACGGGCAGGGGTAGGGATTGAAAATTTCTTGGCCGTTTCAGTGCGTGTTGTTTTATATTTAATATATTGAGAGGAGTAATCACTCGATGCGTGCCCCATTGCAGAATGACTTTTAGCAGGCTTGAAAAAAGAAATAAGACATAATTCATGACGAGTGCCGTTTGATTGGTCCATGCCACTTACGAAGTATAGCTAATATGTAAAGAACATTGCTATACCTTGGTGCAAAGCATATTGATTCAAAATTTGACTTTTTTAAGAGACGTCAAGCGGCTCAAATAGCTCCCTTATATCGCCCCTAGACTTTGAAAAAATAATAATATTTTTAATAGACCACATTATTAAAATAAACACGGCTATGGTGGGAATTTACGAAAAATCATATTCTTCTTCGGAAGTGATCTGGGGACAGCCGCCGAGGTGTCAAGATTCTCTAAAACAAAAAGGCATCGCAGATGTGATTCTCGCAAAGTTATATATTATTTGTTTATCACCACGTCAACTTCTCACACATTAAAATAGATAGGCGAAGAATATGTTGCCGGATGCATATTTCAAAATCAGATTTTCAAGATCACATAATAATAAAGGTTCTTTTCCATTATTCCTTGTGATTACATGTTACGGGCGTTCACTATTGAAATCGTATACGCGAATCTACAATTTTAATATTTAATATGTTAATATACAGGGTGTTTCCTGTTAATTAGAACAGATTAGAAAAAAAGGTTGAGAGTTAGACGATAGTGTCGTCTTTACCATGTATTTATTAGGCTCGGCGGATATTAGAGGAGGAGATGATCGTATGGTAAGTTGGCCAATTAACAAAATGTGTTAATTTATTTTTTAATAATTGGTTTTAAAGTTATTGATGCAACTTCAGTATTTAAAGCGATTGCTATAGGAAGCTAGACCAGTTAAATATCAGCACAAATGCAATCGTTTTTAAGATTCTATTTGAAGAATTTTCGGACTTTTTTTTCACTCATTTTAAAAGTTTTGCGAAAATAGAGCCCACAAGCCCTGAAAACAATCACGCTTAGGGGAGTGGCGTATAGTCGTTTCAGTCACGTCGTCCCTTGTGTCCTCGGCGCACCCACCAAAAACAGGCTGGCGAGATAATGACGACGTGACTGTTACGACTGCGTCTCTCTTCCAAGTGCCATTGTGGGAAGGGCTTGCGGCGCTCTTTTTTAGCGCAACAAATATATCGAGCTAAAAGGACGCAAACATTGATCGATTAATATCTAAAACAAACTATTACATTTTTTTAAAATCCTTTAAATTGCTCTGGTTTCTGTCAGTAATTGCCGTAAATACTAGAATAGCAATATGACCCCGGAAACCCGTAGTTGGTGAGTTAACTTATTTTAGTTGATTAGCCAACTTACTATGACGGTAATCCTCTGATCTAATGACCGCCGTGCCTGGTACACACCTCACCCCCCCCCCCCCCCCCTTGTTTACTTTATTTGTAAGAATTAAAGTTAAACACCCTGCGTTTTAATTTGCTATATGCATCACGCCATGCGGTCTCCAACGCATGGTGCATGCAGATATTACGAAAGAATAAACGCCGAACGATTTCACTCGCAGAATTTTTTCTTTTTGTGTTGAAATGTTAATTGATATACAGACCTTGTAAAGTGCCAAACAACAAGTATACACAACTTCAGTGCTTCTTACTTCTAGCTTTTTTTTCTGTTGCATTCTTGTGTGCTCGTCACTGCCTTCGTTAACAAATAATAGCTGGCAGCATGCTTAAATAAAGAATCAATAGCATAAACCAGGGTTGGGCAGTATCGCGATACAAATGTATCGCGATAGTATTTCGGAAATACATTTCGTATCTGTATTTCTGTATCGCGATACATTTTTTCACCAGTATCTGTATTCCTGTATCGAAATACATTTTTGGACGTTTCTTTGTATCGCGATACAATCACGTTGAAGTGTATTTCGTTACATTTCTTGAGAAATACTCCCCCCCCCCCCAAAAAAAAATAAAAAAAAAATAAAAAAAAAAACAGGTTTGAACGCATTTTTTTTTTTTTACTTCTAAGGGCATTAGAGTCAAGGAGATGCTGGGGTATTGTTACTGTGCTGACCAATTAGTTCCTTTTGATCCTGCAAACTATTTTTCTATTAATCCTCTTCTCTCTTCTGAGAAGTGTTGCGTAGTGGGAAACTCGAACCAGGTGGCGTGCCAGAAGTGGAGTCAGAGCATCTTCTGCCGCAGGTCTTTAGGTAGGGATTTCTTGGGTGATTGTTTCCTGGCATCGAATGCCCGCTGCTAACCGTCTCTCTTGCCTTAGCGTACAGAGTACACCCGGCCGGCAAAGCTGAGTCACATTCCGTGGCAGCACGAGCCAGGCGGTGACTCACTTGAAATAGTAGGAAGACTCATGCTGTGAAGTTCAACACATATCCGAATGCATCTGCGGCTGCGCCCGTAATATTGCACGGCTCAAGGATACGTCATCAGCCGACGTGAACGTGACCCGCTGGTCTGGTGATCCGAAACCCAGAAGGAGGCCAGAAGTGGCATCGCTGTGCCATCCCAGACTACGTACTCCCGCGACTAGTCTCGAGACCGCCGTTTCTTGGACAGCTCGCACCTGTGCCGGCAATATCAGCTCGTAATCCACGAGGTCTCTTTTTGGATAATGCTAGGCAAAACTTGAGGACTACAATCCGTGCGTCGGTGGCAGAGGGTGGGTAGTAAGGACCTTAAGAACAGGGATGCTAGCGTATCGTTTTTTCAACTGTAAAACAGAAGATAAGACATGTATTCCAAGATTCTTCAGGTGGTCCACTATTCTCAAAGATTCCAAATGACATTGCATGCATGATCTTCAGCTAGGTAGCCTACAACGAAAGTGCGCATACAGCAGCGTGGTAAAGTTTCATGTTCAAGGCCACACCTACAGATAAAGAATTCTAGTTCATTCCGCCGTGACATAATGTGATCAATGTTGACAGGATTCCCTCGTCAGACAGACAGGATGTCATGGATGGGACCGCGGTCAGCCCTTGATGGAGCGTTTTTTTGGGCCCATTGAAGACTCCTTGTCGTCCGAAAACACTACCTTCAAGGCAAAGTGCCAAGCCAACAGGAAAGTAATTTCGGGATCAAAAAATTTCCGCTTCAAACTTCAAGCTTCATCTCAGTTGGCGTCTCAAAAAATTTAGAAAATGTATTGCAGTATTAGTATTTCTGTATTTGTATTTCTGCCCTCCCTAAAATGTATTCCTGTATTTGTATTTCCAAATATGTTTTGCCTCTATTTAAAATGTATTTCCGATACGTATCGCGATACATTTTTACAGATGTATCTTAGTATCAGTATTTTAGCTACTATTTCAATGTATCCCAGTATTTGTATTTCCAAATACATTTTTGAGTATTTCTGCCCAACCCTGGCATAAACACCCCACTAAAATTGTGGGGACGTTCGGAATACGCCAGTGCTTAGGGCATGGCTCACTCGCCTGTTTTCTGGCTTGATAAAGAGACACACCAATTTTTTGCATGCCTCTGGAAGCCACCGGTTTGTGGTGGTCCCTACAGTGGTTATGGAAATTTGTACCCTTTGCACGAGCAAACTTATCCCAATCTTGTATACGCTTAACCTTACGTCGGGGTCTGTACTTAAACGGGATCATATTAGGGGTCTATCGGCGACTGATTGCGTTAACGCAACGCTTCTCGGAGCACATGGAGCAGACGTTTGCAATGCAGAACACGAGGTCCTGGGCCCAATTCCCGTCCCTGCCAGTTTCGATCGAGATGAGCATCGTACACCGGCGTATGGTCGTGCATCACTTCTGCGTGATACAAGTTGAAGAACCAGGCTAGCAGTCGTACTGCACTGGTTAAATTTCTCATCTATAGCGAAGGCACCAGACGTGCATTTGGGCTGAGAAACCTCCCCCACCTTAAATATGTGCGGAACATAATTCATCCTCAACATACTTTAAGACATATTATTATTCTCGTGATAATATTAATTCTAAGATCGCAATAGACGATCAGCAAAATATTTAGCGCTACTACAGTGTCAAACAATCTTATAATGGCAGAAGACTTGTAATGTGTGGATTATATGTCGCTCTTTATTTAAGTGCGGAAAAGCAACATGTCTCACTTTCCTGTTTCAAGGCTCCACGCAATATGCTCATCAAGTTAGAGTTCACGAGCTACTTTGACATTCGAAGCGAAGACGACCAAACGTGCCTCATGGACTATCTGGCTGTCAGTCGCACGGGAAATTTCTCCACGGATACCAAAAGGTTAGTGACACCTATCTACGGTAACTCGCAAAAAGCGCCTCAGCTTTTTACAAAGCTTAAAAAAACTAATTTGCAATATTAAAATAAAACTTATAAAGTTAGATGTAAGTACAGACGATGCATGCGGTCAGTTTAAAAAGCATGAGAATATATATATATATATATGTGTGAAAGAAAACGCACCTGAGACGGATGTTGGAGTGTTTAAACTATAGTATTGGTAAAGCCTAGTTCAGGCCGAAACGTCGACCAACTTTACCAATACTATGTTTTAAAAACTCCAACAACCGTCCCAGGTGCGTTTTCTTCCGTATATACTTTTCGTCATCCTGCGCTACGTTTATATATATATATATATATATAATTTATTTCTGGTTGCTCCTCAATTTTTGTAAAAGAGAATAAATGAGGTGTGAAAAAGAGTAGACACAACAATTATGCCAGCCTTTTAAGGAATGTCTTTGCGCATTAATGATTAGACTGTAGCAAACAAGCGGGTGACATCATCTACGCGACAGAGCAACGTGCGCCAACGCCCGCACACCGAATGAGGCAGGAGCCACGCACCACGAGCGGCGGACACGCGGCACAACCTCGGATGGAACACGCCGAGCTGCAACCCAGGCTCGACTCACCTACCTCAGACATTATCTAGGACTGGCCAGTTTCTAAATATCTCACTATGAAATATAGAAATAACAAATGTGTCAGCAAAGAACCCCCCCCCCCCCCCCGCCTCCCCAAATTATTTATTACTTTACTACTCAGACTGTATCGTCCAGTCTGCTTGTTGAAAGCCGCTTCCGTTGCTTTATGTTGAAGCTGGCTTCTCGCTTTTATCTCGCTTATATGCTCAACATATGCGTGCCCTTACACACGTTTTTTTTATTTCTTTAAAAAATGTTGAAATTTATCACTAACTTCTGGCAAGCTGCTCGGGTCGACGAACCCTAGCGCAAGAGCATGTGAGCGGGAGCTGGCCAAGTGCGTCTCCGAACTGTGTGTGTCTGTGTGTGTGCGCGCGTGTGTGTGTGTGCGCGCGCGTGTGTGCGCGCGCGTGTCTGCGCGCGTGTGCGTGTGGTCGTCTGTGTGCACGCGCGTGTGCGCGTGCGTGTGTGTGTGCGCGCGTGTGTGCGTGTGTGTTGTATGCTTTCTTTTTTTAATGTGCGCGTGTGTGTTTTAGGTTTTCTCTTTAATGTATGTGTGTGCGTGTCTTATTGTGGGATATTTTCTTTTTTAATAAAAATAAGGCACGGCGTGGCTCCGAAGACCAGCAGCAGCCACGTGCGGAACCGGAAAAATATCTGTGTACGACAAATTTATGTGAAAATCTACTTCAGCACGGCTGCAAATCCATCTCACACTACCTTGCACTGGATAAGCCAACGGAGACGCCAGTGCTACGCCGTGCTGCTTAACCATATCCCGGCGAGACAGCAGCGGTGGCCTCATTCATAATTTGCAAAGTTTTCATAACTTTTTTTATTCACAATCTGTCGTACACTTGCCACCCACACACATAATTTTTAAGCAAATGCTTAAAAAACGCAGGGCGATGCGAGTTTTTAGAATATTACCATTGCTCAGGAGCCAATACGTTTTTGTTCATTAGCCGATAGGAAAACCGAAGAACAAATCTGGGAGGCAAGAAGCCTGAAAATTATAAGCCCTGCACGCCCTGGATTTTCTAAGCTGGCAATGATTAATACTGCCGTTATCCCCAACATTCCCCACACCAGACTTTATTACTCTTCATTTACAACCTTGGATCAGATACTGCGGTCAAACACGTCCAAGAAGCATCATATCAAAGACGAATAAGCTGGAACTGAAATTTGTCTCGGACTGCATCGAAGATGGACGCGGTTTCAAGGTGCGCTTTGACTTAATAAGTGCATGTGAGTACTGGACACATACTTTATGCATAAACGCGGATAAGGGCCAGCACTGCATCGCTTGACTCAGTCTAGCGCTTGATCTGTATGGCGCACCGAAATTTCCAACATTAGCGACATATCACATGCGTCCTCCGCTGTAGGTGGGGTCAACAGGTTAGAAGCTTGGGCACTGGGAGCTCATCTTCCGTCGTGAAATATAAAGGTCGCGGCGCATATAATTACTTTCAATTTGTGAGCTAACATGCCGCGCTCCACGGAAACGGACGACTTAGGAAAAGCACGGCTTGGCTTAATATTAATAGACACATCTGAACTAATGACTCAAAATATAACAACAAAATATGACTTGCGCGAATGTGTTGAATGTTCAAATTTTGACTGAGGATTAGGGGATTTAGCGACAACACTGAAAACGTGACGTCAAATTGTTTAATGTGTGGGAAGTCAGTAAATCTTCTTTCCCGGCGGGTTACACGAAGTTTGATGGCGTAAAATGAATGCTAAAAACAAACGCCAGCAAAAAAAAAGAAAAGCACACAACGTCCTGATTTTCTTTTCTTTTTTATGCGAAACCATTAAGTATCCCATGGAGCGGAGCTGGCGGCGTCTGTAACTGAAAAAACCCGCGAAATAAAGCTTTATATGTTTCATTACGCGAAAAGGCGTCGGCGTTGTCCCCGAATAATGGTCATAAAAATACGTCATCAAGAATGCGCCACTGAAGGTCAAAGCGGACGCGCCTCAGAAATGAAACACGAAGAAAAGCGCAGCAACGCAGATGCTTCGTCACGGAATCCGTGAAGCCAGTGCCGCGCCTGCATAGTAAGGGAGCGTGATGTCACCGCCGGAATATAATGCTTTCGCATTCCTACACGTAAGCAGCCTTCAGTGTCTTCAATGTGTTTTTGGTTACAGAACAACTACTATGGCCTATCTTGAGGACTGACTTCAAATAAACTAAAAGATCTGTCTCAGCAAACACTAATAATTCAAATGTTATTTATTCAATTTTGTCCAATTCGTACGAGAGCTGCCATGACACATTAAAGTCCTGACGATCCCACGGCAGATTCCCTTACTCCGACGATTTTGTTTTTTCCAAGTGCCCTTTTTTAAACTTATTCACTATGAATACTCACGTTATAGGTGGCATTCGAGTCTTTTTCAGGATTATTCTCAGCTGATTTTTTTTTAAACACCCGTTAATATACACTAGGAGGGTAAGGGACCTAAACAGAAATCGAAGTAACGGGGGAAAATATGAGTATTTATCAAAAAAGTGATTTCTAGAGTATGAGACTACCCTCTCCATTAACGATCGTAAACAAACTGCGGCCTGCGCCCATTCTAAAACATTGATGAAACTTTTCTAACTTACGTGATCAAATGTACAGGATATGGCCTACCATATGGAATGTCTCAGCAACGACCGAGAAAGCATAAAAAGCGCATTTAAAATAAAGAATTCATTCCTTTGTGATAGCGTCAGCGACCGCGGTAGACGTCCGGTGAAGAGTGTAAAGTGATAATGAGCCAACTAATCACCTAACCTCAAGTTAACTTTTCGAAATGGTCGCCTTAGCTGGCATGTACCTATTCTAAAATGTCAGCCCGTCTGAAAATTTTTCAAAGTTTTTAAATTTAGACAAGTAAATCTTTCCGTGCTATTCTCTGGCAAAGTTAGCCTCTCTAAAATCCGATATACCAAAAAACAAATCGTCGAAACTTACGCGTTTAAAAGGGTACTCCAGAGATTTTTTTAGCTGCCCCAATTAACAATATTTTTTGAATTCCCAGCTTTTATTCTTTCTAGGATGCTATTAAGTATCGCGAAATTCGTAATAGTCATCATGAAGTCGGCAAATGAAAATGTTGAAAAAATCAACATTCAAATTTGCCCGCACTTTCCAGTGCAATGATGTCAGTGGAGGCAGGTTTACCAGTGGAGAAAACAGTCCAAACAATAGACTATGCCAAGCATTTGCTCCATGGTGGTGCGCGGGTAGTGGAGCGAGCTACCAAAGCACTCATTTGATACCACGAACTTGCTTGAAATCAATGGGGAACAAATTCTGTACTCTGTAGACTGAACCCTTGCCTTCCGCTCGCGTCACTTTGTTTTGTTTTTTTGTTTGTTTTTTTGCCAGTACAGGCTTTCCGTTTGAACACTGTGAGGAGCAAAACTGTAAATTCAATAATGTCGCAAAAATTATTTTTACTTAATATTTGGGATACTACTTCAGCGATGTTTTTGGTGTGTTTAGAAAATTTTCAGGCAAATCGGAGAACATGAAGAAATCGCCGGAGTACCTCTTACTCCGGCGATTTTTTTATCTACCCCAACTAACTGAATTTTCAGAATCGCCAGCATATACCCTTTTCCTGTATGCTCTTCAATATCGCTAAACTCTGACTAGTAATTGTGAAATCGGCAAGTGAAAAGCACGCCGAAACCAAAATTCAAATATACCCTCGCTTTTCAATGCCGTCATGTCAGGGGACGTCAAGCTTGCAGGTCGAGCGGGCAGTCTAAACATGAACTATGCCAATCATTTGTTCCGTGCTGCTGCGCGGGTACAGAAGCGAGCTTCCATAGCATTCACTTGACACCATGAAACCGCTTGTAATCAGCTAGGAACAACGTTTACAGTCCAAAGAGTGAACCCCTGCCTTCCCCTGACGTCACTTTCTCACTGCGGCCACTAGACATTTGCACATTGAAAAACATGATGAGGACCTAAATTGTAAATTAATAACCTCGTGAAAAAAAAGTTTGGCCGAATATTTGGGGTAATATTTCAGCGATGTTTGTTGGTATATTCAGAAAATTTTCATGCAAATCGGGGACTATGAAGAAAACGCCGGAGTATCGTCGATGAGACGGCAACATGTGGCGTGCCTTTTCTACAAACACGTGACTTAGGTCGGCACAGGATCACTCGCTACCGACGCCCGCTTTGGCGGCTGACGTCAATTCCAATGAAACATATGCGCCCCTTTTTTCCTTCAAATTTTTGTAACTCATACTTCTGATAACATGCATTTTCTTGGCTATCTTGGATGTAAACTCTGTTCTTACGTTGAAATATCACATTGACAAGCAATTCATACCATATAACTACCCGCCGAAAGGGTTTTTCAATGAAATTATAACATTTCGTGGCTTGCTAACTTTCTTGCTTGTAACGAAAGCTGAACAATTCTACGGAGGTAGTTTTAGATTTCAGTCGATGAAGTAAAAAAAAAACATTGGCTGCGAAACCTCTGTTGTTGGTTATCTCTAAATTGTGACACCATTCGTCATGTTCCTTTTGTTACCAAGCCATAGACGACGTCAAGGACGACCTCTGGGACATGTGGGATCACGTGACGTCATTTGTTTCGCTAAGTTTAGCGGGGAAACTTAACTGGACAGTACGTTTTGTGACGTCAGGTCACGTGACATGAAATTTCCTGCTAAATGTAGCGGTGAAACTGAATTGGCGTATAACTGATGTGACGTCTATTTTACTGCTAAATTTAGCGCGGAAACTAAAATGGTTTGTAGGTCCCATGACATCAGGTCACGTGATATAAAATTTCCTCCTGAATTTATCGCGGAAACGAAATCGGTACATAGGTCATGTGATGTAAATTTTCCCGCTGGTGAAACTGAATCGGTTTGTAGGCCATGTGACGTCAATTCGTTCGCAAAATTTAGCGGAGAAACTGAGCAGAAAAGGGCCAGAAAGGTCCACGAAATATGGGGAAGGGCTAGCTAAAGAATTCTATCGCATTAAAAATAAATACGACCTTTCAGAAACTTACCAAGCTGCAGCAAAACCATAAGCGAAAAGACAAATAAGATCAACTTTATTCGTTCGCCTTGCAAATGTAGCAAACATTTGGGTTAAGATAAGGATTTTTCATGTGATCAGCAACAGCGTAAAATCGGTCAGATTACATAGTACAGTCGACATTGTTTTTATACGAGCGTATAAAAAACGCACGAGAAGTAGCTGAGCTTTTCTAAGTTTCAAGAAATGCAGAGGTATGTTCAAAAGGAATCATTATGTCTCTCAACTCGACAATGGTTGAATTCCAGCGTGCTTCAGGTGGTGCACTTTTGCATCCAGCAATTGCGTATCTGCTATTCGCTAGACTTTTTGCATAGCAATTGTCTTTCGAACCTGTGGCACCGACTTAAACGAATGAGCTATTTTTGTTCAATAAACCACGTAGATAAATATTAATTAAATATTAAATGTCTAGCCATCTGAGAGCCATTGAACGTTCTCGAAAACAGCCATCATAAATCCCGGTGGCTCCAACACTTCCGTTCAATTCATATTAATGTCTTATGTTTGTACTGATAATAAATTCATAACTTGGAAATAACAGTACGTTTTGAAGTAATTGGAGTGGTCAATCCACAAAAATTGCATGCCTCGTAATGCTTCACTCGTTTGAGAACGCAGCCCTTACAGCTGCAACGAAAAAGCTACATTGGCCTGCACTGTTTACGGCCGCTGTTTCTTTAATTCCCTTAGAATACTTTTTTGTTCTATTTCGAAGATATAAAATTTATTTTTGCCCCTTTGCACCCATTATTTTTGTTCCTCAACTTCACAGATGTTGAGGAACATGTGGGAAAGTAATAGGTGGTGGCACCCATAAACTTGCCTTGGCTGTGATTAGATGGAGTGGACGTTTTTACAAGGACTCAACATTGATAATTCCGTTTAACAAGTTAAATAACTGAAATAAAAATATTAGATCTTTCCACTCAGATCAGCTTTTGTTTTCAATGTCCGGCTTAATTTCCATGTGTGGTAAGCATGACGATTGCTTTCTGGGCAACAAAACTTACATGAGCTGTACAGATTTCAGGGAAGAGAGATCCTCACTTAGTAAACAAGACAAATTTTGTTTTCTTTTTCCCCAACTACAAAAAAGTAAATAAGATAAAACGCTTCCACCAGCGCCGCCTTCGTTAAAAGAAGCAGTACAATGAAGGGCTGGGCGTCGATTAAACATTTTAACACCATTAATCGCTACCTTTGCTCGATTAATTGCCTGATTAATTGGTATCGCTCGTTTCTATGCATAATATATTTAAGACGATTTTTTTTAGTTAGGAATAAACGTTTTAAACAGTGCTATATACAAGTTTGGTTAGAAATCAGCCTCGATGTGTAGTTGAGGACAGTTCGAAGACACTGCATGAGGGAAAGAAGTCCGTTAAGATTCTCCTGCAAGAGCGACCTCCTTTCAGTTGTTCACACTAGTCTCTACTGCGCTAAACGGACACTCGCACGGCCCTGGGGTGGCTAGGAGGCGTGCAACCTTCTGCACTTGACAGGAGTTAGAAATCTCGCCCCTACAATTTACTTTGTGTTAAAATTTCATCTAAAATTTGTTTTCCATAAAGGTTTACTCGTCCATGTCTGCTTGCTGAAACCATTTATTTTTATTCTCGTTTGTTTCGTCAAAGGTTTACCGATTAACAGGTTAGTGAACTTAATCGCTATTAAAACATTAATCGATTTATCGGTAGGTTAGTCGATCCATTTCCCAGTCCTAGTAAATTATGCTCCTTCTGGGATCTTTGAAATGAGATTCTTAGAATGCTTATGACAAGAAAAAGACGACCCCAAACATAAGAGCCGCGTACGCCGTACAAGCATGTTGTGCTTTAATGTCCTTCGTTCTACGTCCAGAGCCTCCCTTCTATTGATATGTCTTCATTTTATTATTAACCTCCCAATTTGACTAAAAGTTTATTCAAAATGCAAGAGTCGCAATAATTACGCCTCCTAAGTATAGTTCACACAGTACAAATATTTCAAGACACCTTCCATCGATACCACATCTCCAAAACATTTTTATCAAAAAGCACGAAGGTAAAAGGAGTTGATGAGCACATATTTATACCTAATCTTTTGAGAAGTCTTTGAATGTAAGCCGTCGTTTCACTGAGAATCATATATTTATGCTAAGGTATCAGGAAAACAGTGGTGTTCTGACGACCTCTTGTACCATCTTTTTAAAAGAGTGTAGAGATTACCTCGACAAGGTAATTTAAATGGAAGTTTAATCTATTATAACACTTATTTGTTTCAACTTACTTAGATTAATCATGTTCAAAAAAATGTCTCGCAAGTTAGAACTAATAAAAATATATGCCTTAAATTTCGAAGGCATTCTGTTTTAAAGTTGGAGCATGATGCACCAAGCTGTCGTAAATCCAGTGGGCTTCCCAATCTTTTGTGGGAGATAATATTATTTAAAATCAGTGCTTTTTCGTGATCGATTATTTAAGTATTACTGTCTATTGTCACTGGTCCGATGGAACATCGAATGAGCTAAACTGCTAAAAAAATAATTCTGCGTTCTCAAAGCCGTAATTAGCTCCCAGTCTATTCCCCTGTTTGGAATGCACTCTGCTCAGTTGTGATTATCATAAGGACATCTCTTGCTACTCGTCATGAAGATAGTCAGATATAGCCTAATGAGTCAATATACTCGTTTGATCGGCGCAGTTTATTAAGTGTGCTCAGTGTTGAAATGCTGTACTGTTTATTTTTTCGTTTTCAGACAATGTCCCCATGGCTCCATCGACGATACCATACATTCCACAATCATGTAGTAAGATCGAAATAATTATTTATTCATATTGCAAAACCCACACTTCCACACACTAAGCTTTCTTTTCCGTTTTTAAGTTTCAATACGCATCCAGCCTGCTTTTAACCCATCTACATTTCTTTCCGAAATGTCTTCTTGATTTGGAAGTGTCCTTCCTTGAAAGTGTGTCCAAATTTCTCCCGATAACCCGGCCAACTAGACCCTAAATTCTGTAAGGCCTTTATATATCTTTTTAAAAAAAGTGAACTGTTTCTTTAAAAAGACGAAGTTGATTTTCTCGCCTTTCGGCTATATACGTTGGGAAAGGACGTTGGTACCCCCTCCCTATCAAAAACGTTCATGCATCTAGATTGTGCGCACATCAGTTGCGAATTGCGCTCAATTATCGAAATTTAGAAGTGATTTGCGCACAACCTATAGATAACGAACCTTTTGATAAGCACGGTTTATTAACGTTATCTGCCAAAGTCGTAGAGTCAGCAAATCTACTTCATCTTGTTTTTGCCCATTTTTGGAATTCAAAAAAAAAATTGCAGCAACGCATACTTTGGATTGCCGTTTTGTGATATCTGCCAGCGTGTTACTTAAAACGCGTTCACATTCTCATATTATGCATACAATCTAAAATAGTACAATGTAGTTCTGATGCTGCATAGATTAAGGTGCCAAACTAACTCGTACTTAACTAGTTATCACTTAGCAAAATCTGTTTCAGCTGCAAGAAACAGACACTAAAATTATGTTCAATCCTTGTACCCATCACTGTCGTGCAACCCCGAAGAATTATAGTATTTCCTAGATATGAACAATTGCTTAATCGCTTGCCCGTATAAATGTAACATTTTATATCGTAATGTTATCTGCTGTAATTTACTGAAACTTATGATGCTACTGACGCATATGCACTGAACGTCATCCATTCACAACCTTACACATGACGTAAAGAACCTGCAGAAGGATGCGTGACCTCTATGCCACTTCGGCTTAGTTACGTTTATGTGTCATCTTTTGCCTTTTAGGTCGGGTAGATTGTGGAAAGGCGCACGATGAGACTGCAAGGATTGTCGGTGGGTCAGTGTTTCGGCCGCACAAATATCCTTGGCTGGTGAGTGAAATTGCTTTGTTGAGAGAAACGAATATTATATTAAATTTAATATAAATTAATTTCCTAAATGCATAGATATGTCTAATCCTACTTCCTTTTAACATAAACAATTCTGAAGTGCTAAATTCCGTGAGGTCACGAGGAACTCGGAGTCTGGAAAACAATGCATAAAAATGGCACTGAGGTCGCTTTATGAGCATAGATTATTGGTTACGCGGTCGTCGAAGCATGTGGCTAAGCTTGCATCACGCGGTGTTAAATCGTAATGGCAAGAGAGAAAACACTGAAAGCTACCATTTATAATTTTACGAATGAACGAACAAACGTTGTTAATAATACATTTATAACGTGCGGTAGTGCTAAGTTCTTGAGAGAAAAATATAATTTCCAATTTGTAAATTCAACCTTTAAATGTCCACGTTAATTCTGAAGTAGGTCGCTCATTTCTGACTTATAAAAAGAAAGTAACTTTTACAAAGTGTCATCACAGATATTCCGCCTAAAAACGTTGTTATGCAAACGTAAAACCTCCGGGACACTTTCAAACCTTAGTCGCCAGTCGAATACACAACTTTTTTCAATCATGGAAATTAATGTTTATATTTCAGGTTGTACTAAGTTCTTGATTTTAAAAGATTTAGTGTCGTATGCGACGGGGGACCTTTAGACATGTTCTTAACATTAGGAACTATTTCTTCACAGGTTCCAATTTTCGATGATTTCTATACGTATATTTGCTCGGGAAGCCTCATCAGCCCAAGATTTGTCTTAACCGCAGCTCATTGCTGCGAAGAGTAAGTACACTTCTAAGAGCATCGGCCTTCCCACGACTCAGTCTTGATAATCCCAGACATTGTTCTTCTCTATAGTTTAATAAAGTTCCCTGTAATTCCGGGGAGATCGATTTTGTTTCTCCACAATTTTATTAAATGAGAGCTGTGACTGTTGTTAAAGGGCATCTCCGGTCAAAGGTTGAACCAAAAAAAATGCCAGATTTCGATTTACGGAGTCAAAGTATGAGCATTTCCAAAATATTACACCAATGGAACACCGCGATACACTCTAAAACCAAATTAAAAAATTCGAACACCAGCTTCTCATCTGGCATTCAGTGGGTTCGCTTTTTGTAAAGCGACCTTGTGCCCTGACGTTATGTTCGTACTCAGGGAGGTTACTTGTTCGTACTGTCACTCCTTTCACCGTGTTTTCCTGCTGCTTTTTCAACCGTCCCAGAGGACGTTTTTTGCTTGTTACGTGATGTTTTAGCTGCCGCACTTTGCAAGGGCTCCTCAGTGATCGCGCACGAATATTATTGCCTCGTTACTTGTACAAGCGCGTCGTGGTGCGGAAGGTGGCATTGATTGGCAGCCATAGTTTAGTCCGTTCCTGCTCAGCGCGAGCTTAAGATCAACTTCCACAACGCTTCTGCAACGTGCATTGTACACCATTAAGATTGAATTTCTTTTTTTTTCAGAAGGTAAGTGGAGGATTGTTTTGAAACTGCCCTGAGCCTGCGTTCATCGTGGCGAACTCGCTTTTCGGTCGCAAAATTTATGAATGTGTATTAATATTTCCTACTGATGTTTGATATCTACGAAGCGAAGCAGTGAAACAACTGTAGCGTCTTACAGGACTGGTTGGAGCTGCGTACGTTTAGCGGTTCCGCGGTACTAACTTCGCGTCACACGAAGGTCATGCAGCTGATCGCAAGGGTTGCTATCATGCTCGAGCCGGTAGTTTCCGTTTCGCCGTAGACACACGAAACAAAACTTTCATATACATATTTAATCAACTGCACAATTTATTGAGAAAAAATGACAGCTCGTAATTCAGGGACACTTCTTTCACTAAAAACAGTCGCACCCCTAATATCGAGAAAATGATTTTAGTTACCCTTTGAGTGTTAACCTTGAAATTAAAATTCAATATAGAGAAAAATAGCGAATATTAAGTACGATGCTCATGTTCTGTATTTGTCACTCCGTGAATATGGAATTTAGAGGTTTGTCCCGCTTATTTACTCTCCCCCCCCCCCCCCCCCTCCGTTTTTCACCCAGTGCGCGCGCAAGGAATAACGGAGAATGTAGATATATTTATATGCCATGGCATTTGTCACACATTTACCTTTCTTGCCACTAAAAGAAAATAATACTGAGTAGTGAGTTTAATTTTAACAGCCACGTCTATCGGATTGTTCAGTCACTTGAATCAAAGATGATGCAGTTGAAAAAAAATCTCATTGATAACTTAATTCTTGGCATTAAAAAAAGTGTTACAGTATTGGCAGTATTCCTAACAAACTTACTGGTAAAGAGGGAGAAGCAAGAGTGGCCGGACCGTAGGAAGTGTTTCCCCAGTGACAACGTTTTCAATAGTCAAACACTCATCGTGTAAATAGTTTTTTTGTTTTTTTTTTTCAAAATTTTGAATTTACTCTCCTGGATAAAAATAAAAATATACTGTCAGCGGAGTTTCCTGAGAACAGTGGCCTATGATAGTTTTTTTTATTGAAAACATTTTGTTATTTTCATATTAATACAACTAAGAACATGTGCGTCGAAAAATTCAAGCTTTAGAATGTGTTCGAGTACAAAAATTACAAAAGCCTTGTTTCGACAAACGATATACTATCATGAAGTGTCTTTAGAGCTCAAAGCTATATCCAATGTAAAATTATAGCAAGTGATGCGCGTATGTAACGTTAGTAATGAATATACCATAAATTCTTTTAACACCTTAAAAATAGGCGAGGGGTCAGAACTATTCGCGAGATGTGTGCGCTTGTATGTGTGTGTGCGTGCGCGCGTGTGTCTGTCTGTCTGTGTGTGCTTGTGCGAAGGCTCCCTAGTGCGTATGTGTCTGTGTGTGTGTTTGGGGAGGGGGGGCCACGATGGTGGTGGTGGAGGAGAAGCGAGCGAGATTTTCCTCCCTCAACCCCGGTAAGTTTACATGAAAGTTCTTAAATGTCCGAAAAAGCGACCCCCCCCCCCCCCCCCCCCGCTTTGTTCCGATGCCACGAAATGTACGTTGACCTCAGAGTGTTCAATGGTTAAACAATGTATTATTGCATTAATTTTGACGTTTCGAAGTATAGATGTAGAGTGCTTTCACAACAATTAAGAAAAACGTGCTTTTACAGTGTAAATCAACTCGAGATGTGCGCGTTCTAAATACATGTCCATGTCTCATTTTTCTCATCCTTCCATAGCCAGAAAAAGCTGTACGTGAAATTGGGAGCCCACAGCCTCAGGGAAGGGCTTTACAGGCCAGTGAGCCAATGCGTGATCCACCCCGGGTACAAAAGGAGGAACTACGTAAACGACATCGCCGTCATCGAACTGGCACAGAGTGCTAGATTAAACGACTTTGTCAGACGCATCTGCCTCCCTGTCGAAGAAGTTGACACGACGGGCAAGAGCGGTGTCATCGGCGGCTGGGGGAGGGAATCCTACGGCAAGTGTTCCAAGATATTTTATAAATATTTATTCGTTCACGACATATAAAAAAATTAACTAACTGTAGTTGCTCGTAACTTGAGAAACGTAGGCCGTGGCGAGTTCACAAATTTTATTGCTCCTCAGACAATGAAGTTACGAAATTAGCTAATAAAAAAGTTAAAAACTAACTCGATAAAAAAAAAAAAGAAAACAGCAGGAACATAACAAGCTTGTGACTAAAGTTTCTTCAGTTGTTATGGACTATAGAGAGAGCAAGTGTTCCAAAAAGCGTCTTTCACGCATCGGAACGCAAGAGGGGAATCAACAGGCGACAGAGAGAACGCGCGATGATGAAACAACCTAGCGCGCGCCGCCATTGAATGAGATCGGGGAGGGGGGGGGGGGGGGGAGGGGGAAAGCACGTGTACGCATCTGGAGGGTAAACACAGGCACGCGATGCTCGAAGAGCACATAAAGCACTGGATAAATTTGATTTTTTTGAACAAGTACCGCCAAACTGGAGCATGCTGGGAGTCTGAGACACACTTGAGCCGAAAATGGTGGAGCGTCGCCGCCAATCTAGTTTGTCGCGGCAGCGCGGCAGCGCGGCAGCGCGGCACCGACATCTGTACAGAAGACCAATGGCAGCATGCTCGCAAACGGCGGCGCGTCACCGGCAGCCACAGCAGACTAATAGGAGAGTGCGCGTCTGGATGTGGGATGCGCCATGAGCCAAAAATGTCGACGCGTCGCCGACATTTATTAGGAACGCCTGCGGCACGATCAAACGACGGCGGTACTTGGATAAGTCGGGATGTTAAAGTAAGGCTGCAGAAAAATCACGATGCATTCCCCTCTGTGAAGGTGGATGATCGGCGAAGCTGTTTAGCACACGACACAGACGTGACACAAAGTTTTGAACAAAGGTACGAACACATTTATTGTCTTGATCGGTGGCCATCATGACGAAAGGTACGCACGAAAGGTACGAAAGGTACGGTTGTGAAAAGATCCAGTGCAATTAATTGCACGCGCACTTGATGACATCAAGTGCGCGTGCGATTGTACTGGACCTTTATACAACCGCGTTTGCAACCGCTTTGCGGACAGAGACCCCCCCCCCCCCCCCCCTTAATGTGAATGAGCGGTAAGTGTTCCAAAGCAAAAGCCTAAAACAAATGGCATTTTGCACGCGCTTTCGCCAGCGGTTTATTTTGGTAATTTAGTTCTAATTTATTATGAGGGTTAGGCGTGCGCGTGCGGCACGTGCGAGCGTAGAGGTCTTGTTGACGCACATAAAAAATCCACGGATACCTAGCCATAAACAGCTTCGCTGTAATATCCGATAGATTGTTATAAAGCTAAAATCCCGAGACGGTCATAGAAATATAAATTATGTAGAAATAAAAAGAGACAGAATATCTAGGCCAATGGGAACGTGGTGTGTGGTGACGTGGGTGTGGTGGATTGCTCAGGTTTTCTCGCGGCCTGGATGTTTTTCCTGTTAAATTTCAGTTGTAAGTCAGCGCCTTATCTGTGTGTTACTCTTCTACTGGTCCGTTGTTTGTTTCCGCCGTACTCTCATCCCGATGCATCTCCAACTGGCCCAGTTTTCTACGCTTCTAAATTATGCTGTTTCTGTATCATCGGTAAAAGTCGTTGCTAACAGATAGTGGCTGCGGCTGTGGTGCCAAGGCTGGTGCGATGTATTATGAATTGGTATCTACGGTGTACGAGAGCGGGCGCGGCGCGAGATATGCAGATTCGATCTAGGCGGTTCGCTCTTGTTTCTTACCCCTTCGCGACAAGTGGTGACTTGGACGTGATATCGGTGATATTTCTTTTCGGTATCGGCATAGAAGCAGCCGAACGTTCCGCAGCAGCGAACGGAAATCCCGACCAAATCACAAAAGTCAAGAGAAACCAGTAACGAATCTATCTGGAGCGCAGTTAAAACTGCTTCCATTTTGAACTTAAAACCCACAGTTATGGTCCACTCAAATCGAGGCTCAATTCCGACTTCGGCGCGTCACGCCGTCAGAAACGAAATACTTTCATATTGTTTCTTCCCTTCCACCCGAAATTGCCGATTAAAGGCCTGTTCTGACATGCAGTGAAGTGCTGATGTAGTAACGAACAAAATGTTAGGGCGCAAACAAGCTTGCGTAGCCAAGTAGGCAGCGCGTTTGGCTCACAGGCCGGTGGCTCGGGTTCGATTCTTGGCAATGCGTGACGTTTTGTCTTTCTTTATGAAAGCGGAATATTCGAGAAGGTGGGGAAACCGCCTAGCCAATTCATATTCAGAATATATAGTTCGAGAAGGATCGAGGCGGAATATTCTAGGCTCCAAGGGAAGACTTAAAAGAAGCTGCTCCGCGCCGTAAGAGTCAGTCTCGCTCTTGCGCTCGATCGTGATACTTCGGCAACCTTTGAAGCCTGCGACGCTACATCTGTGGATTCTTCTTTTCGGTGCAAGTTTGCCAAATTACACGTTTAGCTTTCTTTCATTCGTCGCCTCATCTGTCATTCGAGACAATATAATGCGCATTCCGAGCCAGCTGCGCAATAACCTCACGTGAGCGTTTGTCTACTGCGTCAGAAATGGTTGTAACAAACTACAAAAAGAAGCGGTTGTCCAGAATTTGAACGTCTCTTTGTCTGCCCGTCGAGATCAGCGTGTACCGAGCTCATCTTCCGTTTGAAGCCAAGTGTTATTTTATTCTTCGTAGCCTTTTTCTGGTACCTCAAACCCATATGTTGAAAAGCGCGCTCCACCAAACGTATTTAGAGGTGGTTTTTCTGTTTATCAATCAAACGCCCATCTGCAGCATTTCGTTATGCACGGAACGCAGCAGACACCGATGTCCAGTCTTGACCTTCCGGCCCTCTCTTATCGCCGCCACGTTCTCCTTCTCCACGACTTTGTTTTTTCTTGTTGGTAATTCCTTTGCCTTTTTGCAGCCGGCGAACTCTTATCGTAGCGTATCTTGTGTCTCGGCGTTGTTTCTCCCGCCTCTTGGGTTTTCTTTTTTACGCGCCGAGAAACTGAGGGAAATGAGGAGAGAAGAGCGTGCGAGGACGTATGTCAGAACGCCGAGCTCTGATTCAAGCGATTAGTGGGTAGACCTAAATCTAGCTGCCGTTGTCTCCATTCCGCTCGTCGAATGCGTTCGAATGCCAGAGCCTAACGCCGGACGCCGGCGTTCTGCGTTCTGATGCGTCCGACGAAAGCAGCGGAGACAAAGGCAGTTGGCTCTATTCGCGTCTCCAGCTCGTTGCTCGCCCTCTCGCGGCGGAAACGGGAAGCGTCATAGTGAGGGTCCCCCGTTCTCCTGCTCAGCAAGCGCGGCGGAACTGCTCGCGATTATGACTCGCGAAAAGTCATTTCCGAGTGCGAACAGCACTCTTCACTGTCCAAATGCAGTGCTGCAGCCGGTATGGAATCGCACCTAACTAGAGAGGTTTAGTATTGCGCATAGCAGCAAACACAAGCGCTGTGCGTTTGCGTTAGAGTTACGTGCTCCGCATGCGTGTCGTCGCCATGAGCCAATCAAAGACTAATTTTGGGTTCCACGCACGCGCAGTGTGAAACACGCGGCGCTAATTCAAAGACACGGTGATTTTTCTCGTATACTCAATACTTAAACTCACTTCTGTTTCACCGGTTTCCAACGCCAACGAAATCTGCAAGCAGGTAGGTGTTCCTTCAAACTGGAAAGGCTGAGATTGGCAAAATGACGGTGAGTAAAAATTAAAGAACTAAATGTCCTAAAAAAGTTGGTAATTTAAAGAAAATGAACTAATTTTGTGCGTGTGTGTGTATTGTGTGTAAGGGGGGGGGCATTCGTTCAGGAGGGACTGACCGCGACATCGGAGTTTTGCCTATAGTCAAAAGTCGCGACTTTGATAGCACTATATGCTTTAACCTCAACTAATGTAATTTTATATGAATTTTTCACATTAGCTAGAATGTTTTCTTTGATTTTCGACTATTTTTATTTTATAACTTGTTAATTAAAAAAAGCTGCAATTGGCACCAGTGATAATTTGCACACTTTTGATTGCCATACTTGTTCGCGCCTTTGAATTTCGATCATAAGCAGCAAATTATATTTGAGCTTGAAAAACTACGTATTAAAACATCTAATTGTATTATTATTGTTTATACAAATGGCTGCAATGTAGACCCCCAATAAACCAAACGATCACAAAAATACGCCATTTAACCGTAATTGTCTATCCAGAAAGGTCTCGTTTTGTTTTCTTTTTCGTATATGGAAAACCTCTGAAATCGTTATCAAGATAGACAAACAAACAAACACTGGATGCAATATAAAGTCCCATGCGTCCCGCGTTGCTTTAAGAACATATACTTCTCCTCTATGACTCGGATTCTGTCTTTGGGTTCTTGTAGTGAGGGTCCAGCAACTATAATACGTCTTCTCTGGGAATGCAGAGGCACTGTACGCTCAAGGGGGGCCACCATATACGACCTCCCCGCTTGTCATCGACCCAAACTTTCGTAGAGTGAACGCGACCAGGGGCGACAAACAGCACAGGAAGATCGTGCTGGACTCTCTGCTTAAGTTCATTCGAGAAGCCGGTATCCGGCACTATTTTTAAACATTTCAACCTCATCGTATTCCCCATCTCTCACCCCTCTTCTTCCCAAAAAAATGAAGTAAGGTCAAGGTGGTTGAAAAATCATTAAAATACGTCTTAAACAAAACAAATAATTTATACGTTTTGTAAACATAGTCTAAACTCAACACCCGCGGCTATATTTTGTAAAATTTCAATTGATTTGGTATTCTTGTGCTGAAAATAATGCTAAAACAATTAATCATCTTAATACAAAACAAAAATTCATTAAAAGGCAGGCAGATTATTTTTTCACACGACAATTATCTGAGCGAGAAAAGGCAGCAAGGACACACAAATATCAAGGTCGATTCTTTTTTTTTTTTTTTTTTGGGGGGGGGGGGGAGGGGGGGGCAATACAATATTTTATGTTAC